TACTGGTCAACCAAAGAGCAGTGCAATTTTTAATAGCTAATTCTTGGAAACAACCCAAATGCCCATCAACTGAGGAATGGATAAAAAGATGTGGTATTTTTATACAATGGAGTATTCCTCAGCTATAAAGAAAGATAAACTAGAGGCTTTTATAGGTAAATGGATAGAACTAGAGACTATACTCATTAATGAAATAAATCAGATTCACATTTGTAAACATCATATTTCCTCTGTAGTATAAGAACCTGAAAGAGTAATTAAAATCTGAACTGTACAACAGATATTGTGAAAGGGAAAAGAAACTGCTCAAATGGAAGGAGCAACTGGGATGAAGGAGGGGAGAGGAAGAGGAAAGAAGGAAGAGGGAAAAATATGTATATATATATACACACACAGGATGGCTAGGATAATTGTACTACTAATATCTGTTGGTTTATTGAAAGGAACTGTTAATGTGTAATTGTTTGACCAATCTTGCATGCCTATATCTGGTTATATATGCAACCATTTTGAAGATGATATTGTGTAGTATAACAACCATTGTTAATATCCTATCACCATGTTTTGAAATTCTGTATCATTTTTATTGCCCTCTATGCTGTTTGTTTATGTATTTGTTTTTGCTATGTTTTTTTAAAAAATGAAAAACAAAATTTTTATGTACATATAATGGTAGCTGGAATAGGTATATTGCTGATGTCTGTACTTTATTGAGAGGAACAGTCCATGCTTAAAATTTTTTTTTTCTTGACCAATTTTACAAGCTTGAATTTGGTAATTAGAATGGCTGATCTGAAAGCAATATGCAGTTTAAGAACCATTGCTGAACTCCTACCATTTTGCATGGTGAAGCTCTGCATCATTTCCAATGTTTTTTAAAAATTATTTTTATTTTTTTTTTACTTGTTACTGTCTTTGATTGTTTAATCAATCTTACATTTTTATGTCTAATGGACTGAGCAACTTCATTGAAGATAACGGTAAGTAATTTAGCAACCAATGTAAATTTCTATCATTTTGTCTTGAGGTCATGTATCATTTTTGTTGTTTTTGTGTTGTTTTGATTTTGTCTTCATTGTTGTTTTGTCAGTTTTTTAATTTTTAAAATAAAAAAGTAACAACAACCAAATATGTATTAATTAACCTGTGAATGGATAAACAAAATGTGGGCTGTGTATACAATTAAATATTATTCAGGCATAAAAAAGAAGTAAATATACATTAGTGTACAATAGTACATGCTACAATGTGAATAAACCCTGAAAACGATACGCAAAGTAAAATAACTCACACACAAAAATCACATATTGAATAATTCCATTTATATGAGATAGACCACAGGTTCCAGTTTATGGTCAGCTGGCTCCATTGTTTTGAGGCCTGTGGCAAGTCAAAAACATCATAGCAGAGGGCGTGGTGAAGCAGAGCTGCTCACCTCATGGCAGCTGGTAAGTAGAGACAGTGAGAGGGCCTACGTTCCTATGCACATGAGTTTTCTGCTGCTGCTGCTCCCCGCCCTGCCCCAATCTGGGGCCCTAACAGATTGGATGGTAAGGGTCACATTCAGGGTAACTCCCCCTCAATTTGCTGCCCCACTTGCCATTCATCTCTGCAAACCTCCTCACAGACATGCCCAGAATTGAGCTTTACTAATTTCCTCAGCATTTCTCAAAGCAATTACTGTGGCAATCAAGTTTACTCATCAAATGGGTATGGCATCTGTTTTATGGTTGACTGTTTTGGAATTAAGTAGAGGTGACAGTTACACATCATTTTGAATATGTCATTGAACTGTACACTTAAATTATTCATGTTACCTTATATTTATTTGTTCTGAAAACAAGAAAATAAAGATAGGCATGTTTAAAAAAAAATAATATGTACACACAATTATGTTCCCTAAGTCAGTGGTCTTCATCTTTTATATATTGGATACCTTTTTGAACATCTCACGACAGCAAAATGTACACATTGAATAAATTTATATATCCTACCCTTTCACCACACCCATGCACCCTCACACAGAGACACATAATTTCAGGGGATTCACAGATTAATAATGCCTGAACTGAAAGAGTGAGTTCCCTTTAACATAGCTAAGCTTCTATTTGTCTCTCCCTCTGTTCATGTCATTCCAAAATAACATCTTTTCCTCCTGTGTTTTCCTATACCTCATAATTTCTCCTTTCTCACTTTTTCAACTTGCTTATATCAGCTTTTCTTAAGTTATAGATCACTGATGCTAAACGTTTTAGAGCTTTCAGTGATCCAAATGGCCCACTGTAGCACGCATGCCATAGGTTCACCACCAGTGGTATATAGAATCTCTTCTCACAAAACCGTATATATTCTACTACTTCCTGAACATATGAAACTTTATACTATTTTAGGTGATGTATAGACTATGTCAGTTGAGAGCACCTGGTCTAGGCTAATCAGTATGGTCAGTACTGACCAAGGGGCACCAGGATGAGTAGACTCTCAGGCAGAAAACCTGCAACATGGCTAGGCTCCTTCTAGTTGCCTTGGATGTGAAGATACCAGAGCCGACAGACCCAGCAGCCTGTACCTTCTGTCAGGTGAGAGGTAGCAGACAGAGTCCAGGAAATTTTCCATCCAGACGCTGTGAATCATGGCATAGAGCAAGCGGGTCTGGGGATATTCTTTCCCCAGCTATCACTTTTCTAGGCTTCATGGAAATCCTCAGCTGCAGGAGTGTAAAAGAGATCTTTTTCTTGCTTTCATATGAGGGACAGTGTTCCTCTTCCTTTTGGGGGAAGAATTATCCCTGCAGACATCTGACTCTGGGAGAGAAAAGGTCAAAGGCATTTACTCAGTTCACAACCTTGGTCACCTGTCTACGCAAAGTTTTGGAGTTACAGAGTCAGGTACTTGAATCCAGAAAATGAAAGGCTCTAGAACCCGGACAGGGATAGGACATCAGTACCTTCCGTACCTATTGACAGTGCAAGGAATATGAGATGATCTTTCTTCTTCCGCAACTTTACAGCGTTTTTCTTTTTCCAAAGCTTACCCTCTGAATGAAAATGTAGCCATGGTGCCAGGTCTGGTGGTCATGCCTCTAATCCCAGCTACTCAGGAGGCTTAGGCAGGAGGATTGCACGATGCCAGCCTGGACAACTTAGAACATGTTGCAAAAAAATAGTAAACGCTAGAGATGTAGCTCCACAGTAGAGCACCCCTGGATTCAGTCCCTGGTACTGAATAAAAGTTTTTTGGTTTAAGTGCTCAAAATTGACACTGTGCGAACTATCAGATTACAGCAAGTCTATCTAGCACTCAGGAATTGTATGGGAACAGTAAATAATGTGTATTTTTCATTTAAAAAAACATGACAAAACTAGCTGTTCTTGAAATTTTTCTAAATGTATATTGTGTATGTAACCAATTGAATTTATTTTTCATGATGGTACAAATTAATGTTACGAGTTTAATTTGATTTGTCTTCTGAGTAGAAGATTTAAGAATCCTATTGGGCCTTTTCCCTCTACCTTAAACACAAGTAGAATTTCTTCATTTAATTTTGTATTTATAAGAATAACTCCTGCTCAGAAAAGCAAGTAAAACTGAAAAAATATTTTAAAAGAAAATAAAATCTGTATTTCAATTATTTGCATCCCTATTTGACGATTCACCTTGTATTCTTTCGGTGAAGTACTGTACCACAGGCAAAATAAGCTTGAGTCGCTGAATGGAGAAACAGCTTGAAGGTGCCTGGAGGTAAAAGGAGACAATGACAAAACTAAATTCCTCAGAGATGTGTTACAGGCCGGTAGTTTTAGGAGAAGATGCAGCCCTTCCCTGATAACCACAGGAGGATAAATACCACAGGACAAAGGCACCACATCTGAATTCTGGGGTTAGTCAAAGCACAATGACAAAGCCTCCTGAGGTGGGGAAGAGGAGAGGGGAGAGTGAGTAGTGAAGGGAAGAAGACTGACGCACTTTCTGCTGGTGGGAGGGGAACTCGGGGCCCGAGCCCACTGGTGACGTTTCCCTCACGTGATCAGGAGCTGACGAGCGAAGAAGTTCCTCTCTTCCAGGTACCAGCTCCCCATTTCCGTGGAAAAAGGCAGAATTCAGACTGAGGGACAGAGGGGGCGATGGCTCCATAACCCTGCAGGTCAGTAAATGCGGGCTTCTGGCAGAAAGAAGAAAGGAGTCACTTCCCTCTGTAGCCGCAAATCCTTAGCCAGCGAGTGCAGAGGTAGGGATGACAGAGAGCAAACACTAGAGCAGATGTGGCTTCTCTCTACTCCTTTCCAAACGCCCACTGTTTAGTACAAGAAATGGAGAGCTGGACGAAAGGCGGGGAAAGGTTTGAGAGAGATCAAGGGGGAAAGAATGGTACCAGCTGAAATCCCTAAGGAAGGGCGATTGAGCTACCTCTGATGGAGAGGGCAGGGGGAGGGGAAGCTGCAAGCGCAGGACTTGGGGACTTGGAGTTCCGACCCTACAACCAGCCCAGGCTTGAGTTCTCCTAATCTCTGCTCCTTCCTCCGTCCATTTTGGAGCTGCAAATGGTGGGCTGAGGGGGCCTGGGTTGGATGAGTGTAGGAGGAGGTGCTGCACAGGAGTGGACAAAAGGTTTGGTCTGGAGACTAGCTGCTAATTGAAGAGGACTGGTTTCTGAAATAGGGGAGGTTAAAAATAGATAGCATGGACCTAAAAGGTTGCTGAGTTTGGACTTAATTTGTCTCTTGCATTGCAAGAAAATGTAGTCTTTCTGTGTACCTGGACTGGGAGGGGGTGAGGAGTGCTCTGACAATTTCTGCCCTGCTCCCTGTCCCTGGCATCTCCATTTTCTGTGAAGTGGTGGGCTTTGTGTCATCGGGGTCCCCTGCAGTGGAGGAGTTGGAATGCCTCCTCCTGAGTGTAGCAAGATCTGCCTTCTGAGAGGCACGGTCTGGAACCCCATTCATTTTGGTGCAAGAAAAGGTGGCAGAATTTGGGAGAGAATGCAGACACATAGAGGCTCTTTGGAAATGAACTTTCTCTTCTATTGCCCAGTGAAAGGAAACAGGAGACTATTAGGTGAGAACTATACAATGGAAGTCAGAAAGCAAAGGGAAGGGTAAGAGGGTGGTAGGACTTGAGAAAGTTTTGACAAATAGTTCCAAAAGAATCTTTGTTCCAGTCACCAGTCACTCACTTTCACACTCTCGCATTCACCATCTGCCTCCTGTCTCTCTGCAGGTCTTCAGTTTGGTGGTTGTAGGCACTAACCAGGACAAGAAAAGAAGAGATCTCTAGTTTCAGTGCACATCAGTGGGAGAAGGTAACTGCCACAGGACCCCTGGGGAGTAGCAGTGTCTTAAATCAGAGCAGAAGTTGGAGAGGTCACCTCCTGTGCTTGCCAAGCCTCCTCTAATTCTCCCAGTTGAAGACCCTAGGGCAGTGATGGGAACCTTATTATCACTGAAAGCTCTAAAAGATTTTCCATCACTGCCCTAGGGGAATATGGTGCTTTAAAGCTGGGAGGATAGAAGGGAGAATAAGGAAGTGAGAAAGGGGAGATGTGTCATCTGTGATTCCTTATAGATAACAGAGTAGCCCTGAAATCTGATAATTTGCCATTGTTCTATTCTGTCTGCAGTTTCATAAGTCTTACGGGGGGCGCCCCAAGTCTGTATATTGGAACTACTCAGTTAAAACTGGTATAGGCATAGCCAAGGCCATAGGGAAATTTTGGAATCAACCTGCTCCTACACATTTCTTAGCACACCCCTTTAACTGTAGGGAGAATCACTTGTACAGGTTTTTGGTTTTGTTTTGTTTTGTTTTGTTTTTGCAAGGTTTATTCACATGAATATGTGTGAAGTCAGAAGTAAAAGAAAGCATGTAACGGTGGGACTGCACCTGGAAGGTGGGATAGTCAGGAGAATCCTAAATCAAGAAAGGCAAGTATTGTCAGGAGCTCATTCGACTCCCTAGGCCTTTAGTATTCTGTGTCCCTTCTTTTTCTCCTAAAACAGGCGAAAGAGGAAAACTCTCAATATGGAAAAGTTCTACATAGAAAATAAAGGAAAGCCAGAAAATGAGGGAAAGGCAGAAGACAAAATAGAGCCTGAAGATGAAGCAAAGACAGAAGAGGAAGCAAAACCAGACTTGGAGGGGAAGCTAGCGCATGAGGGAAAGCTGGAAGGCGAAAGACAGCCAGGTGTAGAGGTGCAAGGGGAAGATGAGGGCAAGCCACAAATAGAAGGCACGTCCAAGAATGGGAGCAAGCCACAGGGTGAGAGCACACCAGAATCCCAGGTCCAGCCATCCAGTGAGCAGCAGCCCACTGGAAAGTGCCCTGCAGAAGATTATGTGCCCCGGAAAGCAAAAAGAAAAACGAATAGGGGAACAGAAGATTCCCCCAGGGACTCCCAGGAGAATTTCCAGGACAGGCATTTGAGCAGTGAGGAGATGATGACACAGTGTGCAGATGTGTCAAGGGCTCAGGAAGAACTAAGGAAAAAACAGAGGATGAGTAATTTTCACTGGATGCAAAGAGAGCTGCTGGATGCGTACCCCTCAAGGGTCCCAAGGGGTGTAAGGGCAGTGAGGGGTGGGAGTAGGAGTCAGAAGGATCTAGAAGACCTTCCATATGTTTAATGGTTTTGACCTTGAATGATGATTTCTCTGATAGAAATATTGCCAGCTCTGCTTTCCCAGGCAGGCATTTGCCTGGCTATATGCTTTAACCTTATGTTAGTACTTCGCTCTTGTTGCCTCAGCTTTTCAAACTAAGTACAGCATTGTCTTTTACCACTGGATTTTCACCCATGTGTGTTAAAGAGATGTTCATAGTACACTGTAAAATAATAATAAAAGACAGTTTTCAGGACCACATATACAGTATCAGCCAGGTTTTTCTTTAAAAAAAAAATACAGTTACATAATAGATCTATTTAAAGGGAATACTATGCAACTGAGTACCCCAAAGAAAATAATGATTTTCTCGGGGATGAAATAGAAGAGATTATTTGGTTTTTATCTATACTTTCCCCCCATGAAAAACAGATTACTTTTATCAGAAAGGAAATAAAAGATAAACAAAATAAGAAACCAATACATACTAGGCAACAAAAGAACTATTGGTTGGGCTTATGAAGGCAGTGGAGAGATTTAAAATTCTTGTCAGAATACAAAATGATAGATAAAACTCACATTCCCTCTGAGACTCTGGAAGTGGGCGGAATCAACACGATAGTTCCTGCAGATCTATTGCGGTAAAGGACAACCTTCTCATCTCTGAACTGGGGATAAAACTTACTCCCCAGGACTGTGAAGTAGACCAGATATGACACTGAATGCAAGAACTGTGCTGAGCTGGCTTCTACTCTCCGCTTTCTGTTAGCAGTACTGGATCGGAATCTTGAGGGGGCGTTGAGGGACATCTCACGTGTGCCCAGCAATAGGTCTAGGAAGGTGAGAGATGGATGCCACCCTCCCCCAGGTAATGCCATATATGCTGAGTATGTATGAGTATATATATGTCCTCCTTGTCTAGGGCCCTGTATCTGCCTAAGGTCCCCACTGCTGTTGCGGGGCTGGAGTCCTGAAAGTAACAAAGCCCTTTCTCACTACATTACCTTCTGAATTGTGCAGAATGTCCCTATTATAACGTTAGATTTACATTAACCCTGACATGAGATGTGGAAAAAAAATGCTTTTCAAAATCTTAACTGTTATTTTTCTTTTTTTTTATTTTAGAAATAAAAGGAGGAAAATACTAACAGACAACATTTTACAAAATAGCAAAGGATCAGTACAGACAGTACAGAGTTACAAACAGAGTGGTAGGGAATTAACAATGCTTATTGTATTACATATTGATATCTTCAAAGTGGTTTCTCATGAAACAGATATAGACATACAAAGCTGATCAACCAAGGCCTCATTGACAGTTTCTTTCAGCAAGGAAATACAAGACAGTAGAACAGCCGTGTTAACTATCCTGCATATACATACACACAAACTTTTTCTTTCTTTCCCTTCTCTTTCCCATATCCCAGTTGTCCTTTACCTTTGAGTGCTTTCCTATCAATTCACAATGTCTATCATATCTCCTATTAACTGTTATTTTTCGGACCTTATAATTGCCCCACTAGACTTGCCTGTTTCAAAACAAAAAGAAAATTATTTTGCTTTGCTACCCCACAGCACATAATAGAAGTTTAAAAAATAAATTCACTAGTTGTTGAGTCCAAAGGCTTCAGGCCCTGGTCAAGTTCTGTACTTGACTGAATATATAGCCTTAAGCATTTAATTTCATTTTTCAGTAACTGAAACGTCATTTCAAAAGGAGCAGAAAAGGACAAGAACTACACCATAAGCCATTGCTAAGTGATCTTAGTATTGAATATTGTAGTGGTTTTCAAGGGCTTCTGGCGGTAGGCAGACTGTTTCCATCAAAATCCTAGCTATCATATTGAAAATGCAGGATCCTGGCTTCTACATCAATCCAGTGCCTCCTGAATTGTCCACACAATGTTTGTGTGTATCTTTCACTCTTAGTTCATTATTAGTTTTTACTAAATAGATACATGCACAAAATTTGAAAATACAGCAGTGCAAAGAGTTTATTATTAAAAATGGCAATCTTCCTTGCCATTTAATATTTCCACTCCCTAGACAAAAGTACCATAAATATTTTTTTCTGTTTATTTACCTCTATATTTCTAAATAAAATGTAGATGCTGTTATTTTTAACATTTATTTAAGTATAATTGACATATCATAAAATTTACTCAATTTAAAGTACACAATTAAGAGGTATTTAGTTTATTAGCATAGTCCTGAAATCACAGTGTTTAGTTCCAGGATAGATACTTTTCTTCAGATTAAAAAGAAATCCTATACCCATTAGCACATAGTAGTGTTCCCATTCTACCATGCCTCTAGCACCTGGCAAGCCCTCATTTCTTTTCTCTTTGTATGGACTTTCTCACTTTATATAAGTAGAATTATACAAATGTGTGTCTTGCTTCACATGCCTTAATGCTTTCAAGGTTCATCTATGTTGTAGTAGTATGTATTTTTACTAAACATTTCTGTACAAGTTTTTGTGAGTAAATATGTTCTTAATATTCTTGAGTATATTCCTAGCAGTGAAATTTGTGAATTTTATGGTAATTATATGTTTAAATTTTGAGGAACTGCCAAGTGCTTCCAAAGCAACATTGACAATCTAGCAGTAGTGTATGAAGGTTCCACATTCTCCAGACCCTTGCCAGTACTTGTTATTGACAGTAGTTTTGATCTTAGTGAGTGTAATGTAACATCTCATCATGGTTTTGATTTGCATTTTCCTAATGATGTTTAGAACCTTTTCATATTTTTACTGACCACTGTATAACCCCCATGGAGAAATGTATATTCTCTTATTCATGTTAAAATTGGATTGATGGTCTTATTATTGAGTTGTGAGAATTCTTTGTCTAGTTTGGACACAGTTCCCTCATCAGATACATGACTTGCAACTGTTATTTCCTCACTTATCAATTCTAGTCATATCTATTGAGCTTCTGATATGATAATGAAGTAATTCTTCCTTACCGTGTTTGTTAGTTAGCTTTCTGCTTCTGTAACAGATACCTGAAATAAAAGAGGAAAAGTTTATGTTTGTTTATGGTTTCAGACATTTCAGTCCAAGGTAACTTGGACTTGTTGCCCTTGGGCCTGTGGTGGCATAGTACATCATAGCAAGAAGCATGTGGCAGAGAAGCTGCTTACCTCATGGCAACCAGGAAACAAAGAAAGGAAGGGGGCCAAGTCCTTCTCCCCTCCAATGAGAAGGTGCCAGGAACGTAACTTCCTCCCATTACCCTACAGACCACCTCTTAAAGGTTCTACCACCTCCAAATGGTGCTACCGACTGCTGACCAAGTATTTAGTACACGCACCTTTGGGTGACACACAATCTACAGTATCTGTTTTCTGCACACCCCCAATATAGCTTTACCACATACGATGTGTATTTTAGTAAGCATCACAATGATTTTTGCTGAACTCTGAGGAACATTGTTTGTATTTTGGGCAGCATAGGCTAAACTTACATTAGAGTACTTAACCACTCCAAAACCTCAGTGGTTTAACACAACAAAGGTTTATTTCTCAAGGTTTCTGAAGTTTGGGGACAGAGAAGCTCTGTTTCCTGTAATCTCTTAAGAATTCAGACTATGTTGTTACTGCTGCAGAAGAAAAGAGTCCCTAGAGATCTCAAATTGTTTTTTATACTGTATTCTGAGAATGACATAAATCACTGCAGTATACACCCTACTTTTTTATATTCTTGGGGTTTTTTTAGTTCTGATAAGCAATTCTGAGAGAAGTGTTACTATAACACTGATAGGTGACTGAACTGAGGCTCAAAGAGGATAAGTAGCATATGCAAGGTCACCTACTGGTAAGGGGGAAGAGCTCAGAGTGAAATCTGGATGCATTTGGCTCTAATATGATAACATTTAACCTGTTTCCTTTTCTAAACCTAAGGATTAGAATTTTACCTTTCCTTTTCCCTTACAGTCCAATCAATTGTTTAGGGTGTCAGAAAATTGGTACAGTTTCCTCAGTGAAAAACTTAAAGAACAGTGGAACAGTGAATGGCTTCCTCCATCATCAATGCCAGTTTACAGCTTGACTGCACTGGCCTCCAAATTGTGAGCTGTGCTTGTAGTGAATGTGGGTGTTGAGACAGGTGGTGATACTTCTTGTGAGTTGTAAGACTGCATGTCCATGGAGGCAAGCTCCTTTTGCCTAAAGTCTCTTCTACTTTTGGGCCTGAGCTGACGTGAACATCAGGAGCACTACACCAGGCAGGTAGAGAACTAAAGTCACCATAAAAATACCAAAACTGACCCATGCACAACACAGGACCTTTTGGGAATCTGAGCAAGGGGGGTGAGGGTTGTTTTTCCACCTGGATCTCTACCGTAATTGCCCTGGGGACTGTTTCTCTGGACTCTTAAGAGAAGTCTTCAACCCCTCTACTTTTACCTGAAATAATCTGGTAAAAAAAATTGCAACTGGCTCTGAAAAGGACTAATGTACTATATTATTATGCTATAGAGTTTTATTTCTACCCCTACAAAAGTCTCCTACATACTCTGACAGCATATCCTGTCTTCTTTAGGGCAAAGTAAAAATACAGTTTTATAACTAATAACGAAGAGATCTCTTGTCTTTGGAGACTACTGGACCTACTACTCATTTATGTAGGGCCAATAAACAGTGACTATTGCTGCTAAGGAAGAGGATATAACAGGTTATATTTACTTTTCCTTCACTCCACTCACAAATGTAAGAAATTCTTTTGGGATAAGGCGAGAAAAGTTCTTGAGAATAGCCCCCACTTCATTCTATACTATAAAACACTAGAGCAAATGAATATTTGCCATCAAAGAGAGCTTTAAATTGAATATAATATTTAAGTTGTAAAATGAACAGGGCAATTCCAATTTTAGCTCTAAATGGAGAGCTAAAAAGAATGCTACACATTTACACAAAAGGCAAAAAACCCCTTAAACTTCCTTAAAATTATCAGAGAGCTTTAATCAAAGTGCAAATAATTATCCTAAAATATAGGAAGCAAACCCTTGGATGGAGAAATAGTATTTAAGTATTCACTTACATGGAGCGGATACCACCAAATGTCACATAGGCCAATAAAAAAAATTGAGCTAGAAATTGCTAATGGATTTCTAAAGACTGAGTGAGGGTTAGCATGAGATTGAGTGAAATCATTGAGGGCCACAGACATAAAGTGGATTGAGTCTTCTTTCAGGCTTTACTACAGAAACACCACAAGGGTTTCCTGAGAAGATGACTAAGAATCTGAAAACATTTGCCCCACAGTGCCAGCTAGGAAAGGTACATAGAAATTGCTGCTAAAATTCCAACTAGATGCATCTCCTCTATCTCCCTTAGTAAACAAAAGTCTTTATTAGCAGAGAGGGCAACAAAGGAAACACAAAAACAAAAGCTTTGTGAGGGTGAGAGGGCAGCATGTGTGCTAAACTCGGTTTTGCATCTGGAGGAGAGACATGAACAAATGTGAAGGCGATACACTAAAATTTATGTTCTCTGTGCTTACCTAAGATGAAGGCCTGATCAGAACATTAGAAAATACCCTTCCTGATCCCCTGCACCACACTAACATTGAATAAAAATATCAGTAGAGGACAGAAAGGGACAAATATTTTCTAAGGAGTAGCACAAAGGGAAATGCAAAGACAAATGGAAAGACTTATAGCCACATGAGAAGAAAAGACCAAATTCACCGCAACTTCTGATTAAGAAAATTTCCACACTAGAAGCTTAGCAGCAGATATGCACATACCCAATGATAAAATCAATTTACTACTATCTTCTACATATCCAGATTTCAAGTAAAAATTAGAAGAAAATAATATATTATGAAGAGACAAAGCAATTATCAAAACCAGAATCTGATGACAGAGATCATACAACTATCAGACACAGAATTTTAAATAATTGTGATCAATGTTATACTTCTGGCATAGTAACATGAGGAGTTTTGAGGATCCACTCCTCAGTGAAACTGGTAAAAGTTACCTTAAAAATGCAATCATTTAAAGTTTTTGGAAGTAGCCCTAAGGACGCATAATAAATGAAATATTTGTTTAAGAATATCTAAAAACAAGAGCAATAAGAATCTGTGGCAGTAGAACCAAGATTCTCTCACTCTCTTCTCCCTACCAGCTCAGCATGATG